AAAAAAAAAAAAAAAAAAAAAAAAAAAAAAGAACACCCAACTTGATCCAAGCCCGTTCGCATTAGTTACACAGTGATGAGGTTGTTTGGTGTTCTCTGTCTGGTGAGAGACTGGACCTGGCTCCACTACTCAACAACATTCGCAACGTATCTTGCCGTGATACGTTCAGAGTGTTTGGGGGCGTTTTCTTCCCCCGGAGTGCCCAAAGAAAACAGATGAACTGCCCGCAGGGGCTGGCGACGCCATCCATTTTGCCCCAGTGGCACTGCTCATTCGAAGAACCTGGATTGTTGCTCACGTGCACTTGCGTCGAGTAGAATCCAGGTACACCGAGTCATGGATGAATCCAATGTCTTCCAGCTGGGGCGGGTTGAAATGTCCCTCGTGGGCCTTCACTTTCATCCCAGCTCACTTTACCTATTGGTTAAGTTATCCACCTGTACTTGGCCCAGGTATTGGCCGTGGAAGAAAATAGAGTAGAAACGTTTCTAGTCAGATGAATTTGGGCGCTCCTGTAGTGGCCCGTACGTTTCCTGAAAGTGTGGCTTGTTAACGGACACGACTTGAAAGTACTGGTGGTTTAAGTGATCACCTCTTTCGTGGCAGGTCATAGGTCGGATTTCCAGTGAGTTGATCTTGGAGTTGCGCATAGATACTCCAATTTCCTGTCAAAAAAGTTTGTAATCCTTAAGGATGCAGAATAGAAGTTAAAAAATTGCCCCATCTTATATGTTGTCCTCTGGCTTCTGGAATAGCTATATGAACTAAATGTCCAGACCAAGCCAATGAACTCTCTTTTTTTTTTTTTTTTTGTGAAAACACGCCTCCATCAGTGCTAGTGGTGCTGATAAGAGCAGACACCGCTAGCACCTGGGGGGAGCTTCATCTATTGGTGGGGAGCAACACCTGCTGGAAAACGGGTCGAGCGTCCCTTACATGGACAGAATTGGAACTGCATCAGAAAAAGAAGTGCAGGCATATCCCTGCCAGCATTGATTACCCTGGGATCCAGGGGATTGACTGAGCAGGATTTTGGGAGGGGGGGGAACCTCTTCACCCTGAACCTGGCGCCAGATATCTGCTATCACACCCTGGTTCCTCCCACCCCTTGCCATTGAGATACCCCTTCTATTGACACTTCAGGCCTACTCACACCACCCCATACCATCGGCCCTCTGATGGGGGGGAAAGGGGGCAGGAAAGTCCGAGGGAGGCCGCAACGGAATTCTTGGATCCACCGTTGCCCAATCTCTGAAACAGATATGATAATCTCTCTTGATCGTCCCTGGATTACCATCATCGATGCCTTCGTTACCTTCCTGGGAGCAGCCACCGTCCCACTTGATGAAGGCAATCCTTCCTCCGTTCTCCGAGTCGCTGCCCAGCGAGTCCCCTGAAAATTGTTGGATTTTTTGTTTTATGTCTTTTTGTGTCTGGAATAGGTCCAGCTGACTTTTAACTTTCTGTCATTGTGCCCTAAGATCCTGGTGTACATATTGTTTGACCATGTCCGTCATTTCCTCCCCGGCTATGCGGACCCCTTCCATGGCATGTATGCAGCGTTTCGTCCAGATGGCCCACAGGACGGCTCTCCTCCCTATCTTAAACATGTTATTCTCGAAGGAACTATCTGAGGGGGAGGTCCATGTTTCGCATAGAATCGCCCTCCAGTCCCATGGCCAGGTAGAGCCCGTGCCCAGCAGGTTCCAGATTATGTCCCACCATCGCCATGTGAGGACAGCCCCCGGACACTGCAAGAATATGTGTTCAATTGTTTTCGGGATCTTGCGAGGGGGGAACGCTGTGTGACACAACTTTCACACATGACCTTCCCTGTTGTTCCCTGGCGCTGGAACAGATTGTCCGGCTGGCCCCACAAGCACCACAAACGGTTGACCCCCTGACTTGGCTAGAAGACCGTTTCTGGTTTATCCCATGGCGCTCCTACGCCGACCAGACCACGAGCTGGGGTGCAGCCCGTGGCGACCTGGCCAAGGATGATTTCTAGATCCGATGCTTGCGAGCTTGGCACCAGCTCTCGCTCCCAGATAAACCCGGACCAACCAGGTGGGAGGAGGTGGCTAGACAACCCCTGTATGGGAACAGAAATATCACGGACCGGAATGGAATGATATTCTGCAGTTTGGACTCCCCTTGGAGCAGTTGGGTTAAGAAAGGCAGACTTAGAGTTAAAGATATCTGGGATTCAGAAAACAAGGACTGGAAAACGACGCCACATATGAGGACGTCATTGGAACACTTTCACAACAGAGAAAGGAATCTGGACCAGCTGATCTTCGCAATTCCCCTGGATTGGGTGCGGATTATGCGCAAG